GCTTAATAGGATAAAGACCAGATTCACACCTCCCATCTAGGAGACTTTTCCTCGACCGTCGATCCTTTATAGAAAAATGCCAAGGATGGAATTCAAAAAATACGTCATTATCACGAGAAAATTTATGAACGGAAAGAAGATGTTTGGAAATTTCAGGCACATGCAAAATATTACGCAATTCAAGAGGACGAGTAGCAGTATTAATTAGAGAATGACCAGTATGCAAAACACGCAAACCTGCTCCATTGCCGACTTGAACTTGTTCATCTCCATGATAGCGTTCACGCACAGCGAGACGATCTAGGTCACTGGTGATATGATCCGTAGCGCCTGTGTCAGTGTACCAATTTGGGTCAATCTTGTAAGAGGAAGTAGCCGCTAGTGCCTTGGGAGGAGCAGAAGAAGGTTCATCTTGATAGGACTCATCCATCCTATGCCAGCAGCGGATAGCAGTATGCCCCACTTTGCCACAGATCTGGCAGAAAGGACGAGTAGAAGGGTCACGACGATCACCAGCAGGACGAGAGGATGCATAACCTTGAGAACGACCACGACCACGATCCCTACGCCCACGATTCTTCTGCTGACCACCACGACCAGCATAATTGGCAGAAGATCCAAGATTTAACTGAAGTTCAGCCTGGTGTTGTAGTTGGCGAGCTTCATACGTCATTAAATGTGCAAACACATCATCAAGCGTGAGGGGTTCACTCTTGATAGTCATTGAGGTGACGAAGGGATCATAGTCAGGGCCAAGACCAGCAAGAAGATACGCGATCACATCATCATCCTGCAAGGCAGAGCCGGCGGCGGCCAACTCGGTGGCTAGCCCTTTGATCTTGCGAAAATAATTTGCAGCAGATTGATCTCGTTTCTTGGACGTGGCGAGCTCAATACGAATTTGAGTAGTGCGAGCACGAGTTGACGATGAAAACATCCGTTGCAGGGTATCCCACGCCTCCTTGGACGTAGTAGCAGCAACCATATCGTGAAGAATCTCCTCTGACATGGAGGAGAGAAGAACGCTAAGAACCTGTTGATCCTGATCATACCACTGATTATAGGCCGGATTAGAGACCATCTCAGCACCAGCCGCAGTTGAGGAAGGTACCAACTTGGCAGGTGCGACATTGGTGCCATCGAGGTAGCCCATAAGCTTCTTACTCCGTAGATAGGGGAGGAGCTGGGCGCGCCATATGATGAAGTTGTTTTTGGTTAGACGAATTGTGACAGCATGGTGTAGAGTGCTTGGGCCAAAAGTCTCCATTGTAGTTGAGACGGTGTTGGAGATGGTGGATGGAGAGGAGGAGGAAGATATGGTAGACATTTAAAAATAAACCTTTGGCTCTGATACCATGTTAGGTTGAATGGCTCGATGACCTAACCTAGGGTCACGACCTCATGTATTTATAGATGTGTATAATGAAGATTACATTCTAAATCATAGATTTGTTAACAAACTATGAAATCATAGATTTGGTAACAAAACTATGAAATCATAGATTTGGTAACAAACCAAATAACTATGAAATCATATATTTGGTAACAAACCAGTAAATCATAGATTTGGTAACAAACTAGTAAATCATAGATTTGGTAACAATCTAGTAAATCACTAGATTATCTTACTATACACAAATATGATTTACTCTACGTTTAACAGTATGAACCATTTTTGATCTGGAATATTACATTTTTGGTTCATTTCATTTATCCATGCAGTTGTTTAGGTCTCTTCCAAACATGTCATAATAGCAATCAACGCTCTGAAGCCGCTGTCGTAATAGGGAATGAGTTTGGAGGCTAAGCAAAATAAGTATCCATTAAAAGTTGTGGCGATGAGAACTGATTTTTCTATTATTCTGTAGTTACGACTATTTTGCAATTAGGCTCAAAATGAAGAAGGTGACCGATTTATTGTTTACTAAGAATGAGAATGAAGTTTGAGTTTGTGTGAATAAATAAGGAGAAGAGTAAGCAAAAAAAAAAATTCCTGGGACCCATCAAACATGATCCACCGAAGAATGTGTGGGGTCCGTAGGGAGTCTTTCTCTATTCTATTTCTAGTCTATAAACAACGAAAAAGAGGATAATAGGAAATGACTTCCATTCTTTGTGAGTATTATAGACTGATTTAATGATTGTTTCTAGCATATAAAGTAATATTCATTCTGCTTGGAAGTTCATTTGTTGTTTTGCCTTGAATGCTAGTTAATACACCGTGTGGCTTTTATAATTTTTCTAAAATAGAAGAGATGGAAAAATTGACTTGCTTTTTAGCTAGTTTTACATATTTGGCACGACTCCTTACAGATAATGAAAACTGCTGCCAAGACACTTATTCCAGTTACTCTTGAGTTGGGTGGGAAGGACGCTTTTATTGTCTGTGAGGATGTAGATTTGGATCACGTATGAATACTCTCCAATTTTACTTTATGCTAGTAGCTCTATTTTGTTAGTGTGACTCCATGTCATTGTGAACTGATGGGCGTTTCTAATTTACTTATTATAGGTTGTAAACGTTGCTCTCAGGGCTTCTATTACATCAAGTGGACATAATTGTAATGGAGCTGAGAGATTTTATGTCCACAAGAACATTTATTCTTCGTTTGTGGATAAAATATCAGAACGTGTAAAGGCTATTACAGTTGTAAGTATAAGTTCCTATTATATTTATTTCAACTCTGTGCATTCTTCTGCTGGGATTAGGGTTTATTAAAGATGAGACTTTCTTTTCGAAAATGTTCTTCAGGGTCCACCGTTAGCTGGGAAATATGATATGGGTGCCATCTGTACGCAAGAGCAGTCTGAGAAACTTCAGAGCCTTGTAAATGATGCCTTAGACAGGGGGGCAAAAATTGTTGCTCGTGGAACTTTTGGACATTTACCTGAAGGCGCCGTCGATCAATATTTCCCACCTACCGTTATCGTTGATGTCAACCATACCATGAAGTTAATGCAAGAGGAGGTAGCAATAGAAAGTCCGTTTAGAATTTTATATCATTTTCACCTATAGTTCTAATTCTTTATTACCTACTATTTTTAGAAAAGTTTTCAATAACTAAGCCCAATTTTGAAAACTTGAAAAAAATAGTTCTTAAAAATTTGATTTTGTTTTTTGAAAATTGACTTAAATTTATATATGTTTTCAAGGAGGGTTAAAACGAAGGACGAATGACAAATGATTTTTCTTTTTTGAAGCAAAAACAAAATAATTAACAAATTGGCCTGATTTCCTTTTTTAGTTTCTTGTATATTAAATTTGCATCTGAATTGGTCTCTAGGAAAGTAAGATAGCGAACCCCAGCTGACTAGGGCTCCAAATTGACATAAAACTCGTTGCTCAACTTTCAAAGGTTAAGCAAATGTGCTAACTAAGTGGTGGCATACAGGCATTTGGACCAATCCTGCCTATAATGAAATTCAGCACAGATGATGCGGTCGTGAAGCTTGCAAATGATTCAAAATTTGGGCTTGGTTGTGGTGTGTTTTCTGGCAGTCAGCAGCGTGCCAGGACCATCGCTTTGCAGATACGTTGTGGAAGTGTTGCAATTAACGACTTCGCCACAAATTATTTTTGTCAGGTAAAATTCATTCTGAAGCATGGATCCCTAGTCTTGCTTACCAGTTAATATTTGACACGGTTGTTGCATGCTTATTGGGTCATATGTTGGTATGGTTATTGAACGCATGTGGATACTCTGACGTATAGGCACTTGTTAGACATGTATTGAATTGTATAATGCATGCTTCGCTGGAAGAAGTTATACCAATGTGTGGAAGTCAATCTTGGTTACAATAGTTTATTTTACTTAGCAAACCTCAATCATGGTTAGTGGTTTGTACCACTTTTATAAGGACACTTGATTTTCAGTCCTTGCCATTTGGTGGTGTGAAAGAGAGTGGATTCGGTCGATTTTCGGGCGTTGAAGGATTACGAGCTTGTTGTATCGTCAAAGCAGTGGTCGAGGACAGGTGGTGGCCGTACATTCAAACTAAGTATCCCAAGCCTCTTACGGTGAGTGAGGCATTAGAAGGGGTTTTGGTAGAGTACTTATTTGGCTCTTTCTTATTAACTAAAACAGTTTGTTTGGTGTGTGGATCAGTATCCTGTTGCAGACAACGCTTTTGAGTTTCAGATGTCAGTTGTTGAAGCAACGTACGGCCTGAACATATGGGATCGACTAAGAGCATTGATCAATGTTGTGAAGATGCTGTCCCAGGAGAACACTTCGGCTAAACATAACTCTGTCATTGGCGATGGAGATAAGAAAGCTGATTGAGGGATGATGGGATTTGCAATAAAAGATACATTATTCGCTTAGAAGGTGGACTTACTTATATAGTATTTTATTTTATATTTTATAAAAGCACTTTCATATATTACTTATAAAGTCGACGATTAAAAGTGGGAAGTATTCATTGGGTGGGCCCAAAAAACTCGGTTTAGGCTCTGTTCAAGATTTGATTAAGTGTTTTTAGTCTGGTAAAAATAAAACTATAAATGATTCAAAGAAAACCACTTTCACCATTAGGTTCATTTGTAAAAATTAAAAAACCCATTGCTTCTTTTATTTTACCAACTTTTAAAACTTCACATTTTTACTTCATTTTTAAACTTCTATATTTCGAAGAAAAAGTTCTTTTAATAAATATTCTGCATAGTATATGGCGCGTTACAAGTTTGCGGCTACGTTTTTTTGTTCAGATAATAATTTAGTGATTCATTTAAAACTTTAATTTGTGAACTAAAATTTTGATTATAATCACTGTTAAGAAAGAATAACTAAACACACAAATTAAAATCATTTTAGAGTTTAAAAAAAGAATCATTTTTTGAAAGATGTTTATATGATAGTACGCATGTTTCATTCTGAACTGTGTCAATCTGGATAATGAATGAGACATCAATGATTCGATGGCAACTCCAAACAAAACAAACAAAACAAATATTTAAAATTTAAAAAATATTCGTTCAATGCCACGAAGCATTCGACGGTGTATGAACGCTGTAACCAAATTACACGCGTACATTTTCACCCACGCTTTATCTATCCCACTGAGTTGCAGATTTGCAAACTGAGCTTGGAAGCAAGGAGCAAAAATGGCGGACACGAAAACCAGAGCACAACTCGCCGGAGGAATGACCGCCACTGACTCATGGATCAGAAAGCACCGTCTCATCTACACCGACGCCACACGCCATCCTTTCGTCCTCTCCATTCGCGACGGCACCGTCGATCTCTCCGCCTTCAGAACTTGGGTGGTAAGTTCGTTTACGAGAATCCACAAAATAATTGATTAGGCCTTCGAAAACGTCCGATTTCTCTACGTGATTAGTGTTCGAGTTCAAATCCTTCAGGAACAGGAATGCAAATTTCTGAGATCCTTCACGGCGTTCGTCGCAAGTGTGTTGGTTAAAGCATGGAAAGAATCGGACGATAGAGCGGACGAGGAAGTGATCCTTGGTAGTTTGGCTTCTCTCAACGACGAATTCGCGTGGTTCAAAAAAGAAGCCTTAAAACGAGATATCGACTTGACTAAAATTGTTCCTCAGAATGCAACCGCCGGCTATTCCAGGTACATATCGAGTTCAGCATCAATTTTTCTTGAGAGAATACATAGTGAATGTTTGATTTAGGTTTCTGGAGAGTCTGATGCGGCCGGAAATGGAGTACACGGTGGCGATTACGGCTCTTTGGGCTATCGAAGCTGTGTACCACGAGAGCTTTGCGTACTGCATGGAAGATGGATCAAAAACGCCATTGGAATTGAGAGAAGCCTGCGAAAGATGGGGGAACGAAGGATTTGGAAACTACTGCAATACCTTGAAGAAGATTGTGGATAGACGATTGGAGATGGCTGCTGGCGAAATAAGTAAAAAAACAGAAATGGCTTTGTTGCGGGTTCTTGAATGTGAGGTTGAGTTTTGGAATATGAGCCGGGATGGTCCACAACAAACTATTCGAGCTATGAATTAGCATCAAAAGAATTCCCACGTTTGTTCTTGAACTAGAAACAAGAAACTAAATGAACTCAAAATGTCTAGAATGACCAGAGTTGCAAATATATGGAGCTTTGTAATTTCATTTCAATCAGATGGATTACGGTTATCCTAGCGCCTTCTGCTGTGCCTTCGGCTCTTCCTCCGACTACGTTCATCATTGGAGTCAGAATCAGAAGATTCAGAAGATGAACTGTACCTCCTCTTTCTTCTCTCCATTTTCTGCTTCTTTCTCCTTCTCCGACTCCTCTCTGATTCTGATTCAGATGAAGAACTGTAATCTGAACTGCTTCCGGAAACTGATGATGACCCACTTTCAGTCTCTAAAGCAGAGGCCTCACTATCGCTACTGGACCGCCCATGCTTCCTTGTGCTTTTCTTCTTCGAATGTTTCTCAGTCTTCTTCTCCTTCTTCTTCTTCACATCAGAATCCGGGTTGTCCAGATCATAAGAGGCTGCCATCTTCATCCTCAACTTGGGATTCTTAAGTTGTTGAGTTCGAGATGGCCGAGATATGTAAACTCGTTCGTTTTTGCATTCATACGTCCAATGCCCCACCTGATAACATTTCTGGCACTGTGCAGCAGCACCTCCACCAGCGCTAGACATAGAGCCCTTAAGGTCCTTTCTTTCACCCAATCTGACTGCTTTTTCAGTACTCATCAAATACATCTGCCTCTTTGCTTCCCTTTTCTCCTGCCATCTGCTAGGCCCTTCTTCCTTCTGCCCATAAGCATTAACATTTCGAGCAGCAGCCGCAGCTGCTCGTTCAGCCTGAGCACGACTGAGCCCCTTCGCTGCACTAAGAGCAGCGGCCTTAATCCTTTCAGCAGCAGCTTGCGACTTCTCTTCCTTCTTACTAGACATGCTTTTGTTTCAATATCTGAATCTAATAAACTGGCACAGAACAAAAGGAAAATGAAGAATAAGAATGCCAAATCAAGAATCAATAAACACTACCAAAAGAGAAGACGGCACAAAAACGAAGTGGGAAGCATTAGGTTTCCTTCTTATAAGACACGCTCTAGCTTCTTCCACATTTCAACCGCTCTCCAAACTAGGATCAGATAGAGCTTACAAAAAAAAAAACGAAGGAAGAGCAAAATATAGGGCAAGTCTTAGGGTTTCTACCAGTACCGTAAAAGCCGAAAATATAAGAAAATCGGATCAAAATCTAGCCTAAAGACCACAATCCCAGAACACTCCATTGTTTCCGATTGATGAGTAGCCGTAATCTTAATAGAATGCCGGCTTTATATCGATCTGCTTCGTAAACCAAAGGGGAAAATGGAAAGATCGGGACAATACGCGAAGTTTGCAGCTACTAAACCGCAAAAATAAGTTGAAAGAAGAGGAATCGCAGTTAGAACATACCTCGGGGATCCAAGCTGAATTGGAATCCAGTTTGCGAAGGAAGTGAAGAAGATCGCAATGAGAAGGCGATGTCGAATGAAACGCGAAGGCCAAGCGGAAGAAATATCGGGGATATCGGGAAAGGATACGAAGGAGTCAGAACGGAATGGATCGAGGCTGTGTGAGTTCTTTATAGACCGCGGGGTTGATTCCGTGTTTTATGAATGGATCAAAATACCGACTCCCCCCCCCCATTTAAGTAGTCAAATTTGGTTAAGCTAATATCTTATTTCTTTTAGATCTTCGAACCTTTTTTTTTGTATATGAAAATATCAAATAAATTTATGTCCAAGTTTAAAATTTTATACTCAAAAAGTTTTTGTTAATTGGTCATTGATTTTTTAAACACATAAATCAAACCGACATTTATCCCGTTTTAAACAATCATCTATTTTCAAATAAATTTTTGAACAAATACTTCAATGTACTATCAGTTTCTTATAACACGAGTTTAAAAAAAATTAAGATGAAATTGTAAAAACCCATTTCTTCAACAATGAAAAGAAGTCAGAGAACCCTAACAAAAGTGAAACATTTGAGATTACTAGTTGATTTTTTTTTGCATTAACACAAAAAACTAAAGATGTTGGATCTCTTGAATTTCAGATTTTAGTACAACCTCTACGCTGGAAACAAAGAAATTATTACGAAAAGGAAAAAATAATAATTCACCATAGAAGAAAGTTGCTTTGTAAATATGAAACAACACAATATTAAACGAAAAATGGAAAAGAAAAGCACCATAGAAGAGAGTCACTTAGTAAAACAGAGAGTCGAGTATGAAGGATACGATAATTTAAGCATGGAAGATAAACACCCCTAAGTTTGGCAGCGACAACACCTAGTAGTAGAAGCAAGTACTGGGAGAGCCTAAAATATGCCAGCAAAAATATTAGCAGCCGCCGACACAGCAGCGCCGGTGATGGCGCTTTGAACTATACGCTCATGAGAAGAGTCGTCTGATGCAAGTGCCACTGCTACACCCGTTACTGCACCAGCGATTGCACTGTTCTTCTGCAAATCAAATATCGAGGTTTTGGTGTTCTCTGAACTCAATTCTAGCTAAAAGCCCTGAATCATATGCCATATTTTGATCAAAACATGAACATTTATTGGTTATTTTTGTAGAGGGGTTACCCAGTCATGTGCTCCACGAGCCTCCTTTAAACCGTATGTAAGACCAGAATAAACACCAGCAGCTAATCCTACAGCCCAAAAGAATAACAAAGTTAGCAGAGAGCAATGAAGTAAAATTAAACAACACTAAATATGCTATTGAATCACACCACCAAACCAAAAGCTTTCAGTTCATCACCCTCTCTGTAGAGGGAATCAAGATGAAGCAGAGAAATAATCTTCCAAGGTGAAGTATTATAAGAGTGTAGAAGAGAATCTAGTAGTAAAGTTACGCTGGGAAAGATTTGAAAGGGACCAAATACTCAATTCGGTGACATCGAATTGGTGACTTGAAGAACACATAAATCAGATATGCAAGAAAGGCATTTAAGCCAGATTAGTATTTTTGAACAGTTCAGAGAAGAGAAACTGACCCCATTGGATAGATTCCTGTCCCACGCTCTTCACCTGACATGCACCATAAATGAAAATTTCTTACATGTTCACAGACACTACTCGCTGCAAATAATTCATCACAAATTCAACACAAAATCACCCGTCACAAGCACTCACCATGGCTTCAAGAGACTCTTTGTTGGTTTCACCTGCATGGCATATGAAGAAGTGAGCTTCAAGCATCTCAAAGGACTTCATAACAAGTTATACAGAACCATAAGGGGCACTTCAATTTTAGTCTGTATCAAAGAATAATTTTGCAATCCTGGTCTCAAATGTAGCCCAAAATAATGCACATCTAACAGGTGGAATCAATCTGACACTATTAGTACTCGACTTACAGACATAGTTGACATTTTCACCAGGCAAGAAAAACAAAATAAAACCTAGCAAGGAAGACTTGGTGACGAATTTGCTCGTGGATAGACAGAGTTTAATTCGGAAGAACGATCGAGTACCTTTAAGACCTGGAACATGTCGCTTTCTAGCACTCGATAATTCAAGCGGCGGTCCGTTGCTCGAATCAAGACCTGTACTGATGGTAAATTTCTTCCAAGCATTACAAATTTTTGTTAACCAATTTAACATCAATCGTTGCCTAAACGCGCAACATAAAGCAAAAGTATACAACAAAAAAGTGAAACAAAATAAAAAACAAGTGTGATCGAAAGTCGAGCAAATAAAGCAAGGATCAGTTCGAAATACTAAATGGGACGAATCTTACTCCCCGCAACCGTAAAATACGCCTCTCGAGACACAGATTGCAATGCTCCAATCTGTACAGCAAACCATTGACACCTTAGATTAACACATTGAGGTCCCAAACAGCACTATCACATCAAGATCATCACAGTAATAATCCGAAAGTAAAATCACAAAAGCTTCCGAACCCCAGCGGCCTTGATGAAGCTATCAGCAACGCGATTGAGAAGAGGATGACCAAAGTCGTACAAGAAAGTTCCGCCCTGGGAGCATTTGATTTCATCAACCATAGAACGATTCTCGAGGCTTCTACTGCCCATTTCTTCTTCGAAATCTTCTTCTTCGGCTTATAAGAAACAGAGATTGACTATAACTGAACTCCAAAACCTGCTGCAGTCGATTTGATTGCTAAAGCCAGTGAGACGAAGAAACGTTCGCATGTGCCTCGCGAGGGCGCGGAAACTGAAGAATATATAAGGACGCCGAAGAAACAGAGAAACAAGAACGGACCGACAGGTGGTATAATAGACAGTGACGTGTCATGCGAAAAGATCGGCTGCGTAGCAACTCCTGGAATGAAGTTCTTTACGTGGATTTCACTTCCTTGTCTTTTTTTTTTTTTTTTTTTTTTTTTTTTTAAACCA